TTCTGGGGTGTGGGCAGCGGGAAGAAATTGAAATTCATGGGATATGCCACAAAATAGGGAAACGTGCTCATGCATGCGTTGCTGTTGCCGTTGCCGTTACCGTTGCGTTTCTCTCGAGCGGAATTTGTAAACTGAAAGTATGCAACAAGAGCAGCAACAACAACAACAACAACAACAACGAGGATAACAAATAAGGCAACAAACGGGTAAAATAAGTAGCAAAGCTATGTGAGCTACCGTCTGCGCTTTGGCCATTAGCCTGCGGCTCCAGCTCCAGCCTTGACTTGGGCTTAGGGATGTGAATGAGCCGGGACTATGGCTGGACCAGGTGAGCTGACAGGCCCGTTACGTTTATGGCATGCAGCTGGAATGTGCTGCGCCAGTTTGTGGAATTTTACGTGTTGCGGAATTTTTAGTAACCAACTCAGCCGAGATTTGGCAGCGACGAGTGGGTCGAACCAAGCGCAGTCAGCCACAGTGTCAAACGAAGTCGAACTCCAGCCAAGTCGTTGACTGCCTGTCTATATGTATTCGTGTGTGTGTGTGTGTGTGTGTGTGTGTGTGTGTGTGCTGGAATTTTATTATTAAATTGCGAGCATTTGCACATGCATTGGATTTCGTTTTAGTCCCTCAAACCGTTGACGGGCCGTCATTTAGCCTGGCACAATGGATAACAGAATTATAAAACGAAATAGCAAGCAGCTTTTGTCATGCTTCATTTGTTTTAGTCCAGTTGATTTACGACTGCTGCAGTGTGTGTGTGTGTGTGTGTGTGTGTGTGTACGGGCTCAGGTGCACACAAATAAATAGCTGTTGATTAATATTGGCTGACCACGCCCCATTACGCAGCTGCACACAAATATTGAACATTTACAGTCAGCAGAAAACGTGCAAATGCTGCGTCAAAAGATAAAAGTGAGCGCACAAGTTGAAAATAGTCGTAACACACACAACCACAAATACACGCAAACAATATGCGTGTCTGTGTGTGTGTGTGTATTTAAAAGTTGAACAAAATGAAAAACCGCAGAGACAGGAGCAACAGGAATAGCAGCAACAGATTTTTTGTTGCGGTTCGTTGAGCACATAATAATTCCATCAACAGCAAGAACAACAACAGCAGCAACAACAACAACAGCAACAACAACAGCAACAACAACAACAACAACAACAAATGGCGCTAGCAAAACGTTTAGCACGCCACTGAGATAACAGCATGAGAGCAAATGCGTTGGCAGCGCCGTCAGCGTCAGCGTCAACGTCAACGCCAACGGCACTTTGCCATATCTACAGCTGCATTGTGTGTTGTTGTTTTTTTTTGGTCACTTTACCGTGGGCAAAATGTACGCATAAATTATGAAAAGCCAAAGCCAAGCAAATTGCAAATTCAGAAAAGAAATATCAAAAACAAATATGCAAACGTGAATGGAACTGCATTCAGCTTAACAGCTGGCTAGCTAAGTTAACATAACAGCTACTGCTTTAACATTTAAGGTACATCTAATGTTGAGTTAACATAGGAAAAGGCTTGAATAAGAGTTACAGAAACAAAAGCTGTTAAACGTATGGCAATTAACATATGTAATGTTTCAAATCGAATTAGAAAGCTGTTAGAAAGTTTCTGCCACAAAAATCTCACGCATCACCCACAGTGCTGAGGTCGCTAGCTGGCAAGCACTAAATTGGACAACAGGGCGTATGAGTAATGGCCTTTTGGTTACCAGCAAAGTGGCTGGAGCGCTGATGATGCCGCCAAACTGCTTGGAGTGTTTCCTCGCTTCGTTTATTTTTCGGTAGCATTATGTTGCATTTGTACTATCTCTTATATATGTTTTTTATTTTGGTTAATTTAACTTGTTGCCATCAAGTTGGAAATAAAATAAATAAGTTGCTTCAGCTTCACTCGCGATTCACCTACGCCAACGCACAACAGTATGCTACGATTAATTTCATGTTTACATATACATACATATGTGTGTGTGTGTGTATACATGTACGCATATATTTACATTTATTTGATGCGCGCTGAACTTTTGTAGGCGGCCGGGGGAGGAGAATTGCCCAAACTTTTCTAATTAAAAATGTATGGCATGCAGAGTTAATGGGCTATTGGACGGGGCAGATGTTATTCGTATTCACATGCTCTTCTCAGGTTTTTTTTTTTTTTTGCCTATGAGTTGTAATAGAAATTACATTAATTCATTTTTAAATAATTTCGATGCATAAATTAACATATATATCTAACAGCACAAACGGCTAAAAACACGGCTCAAAATATTTGCTCTGCGTGCATTGAACCGTGCCTCAAGTTGGCTAATTAAAATGCTGCTTAATTCGCTTTTAACCGGCAGGAAATTTGTGTGTTTGGTGGCATTTTAATTGACCAAGAGGAGATGGACAGCCGCTTAGCTACGGCGAATGAAGCTGCAAATTGATTGCAGCTCAAGTTAAATTGCCGCAAAGTTTAATTAAAACTAGCTGAAATAATCAAGCAGCCACTCGCATACCCTTCCCAGCACACTTGAAATTTCAATTTTACAACAGCATAAAGAAATCTTAATAAAAAACAAAAGAACTCTCGCGACGGCAAAGGCTTTATGAAGTCGAAAATTCTACACGTTCTGTCAACAGTTTACTGCCGCCGGGGTGGGAGCTAGGGCATCAAAATACCACTGTGATTGACTGTTAAACCGTTTAAATGGGCGTCCTCTGCTGACTGTTTAAGTGTTTGTACAATTTTATCATAATTGCAGCCACTTGGCAGACATCCAAATTGCGTTGTTTTGCCCGTTTGCCGTTTCTCAAATAGTTTCCCTAATTGGCAGCAGCCACAGATTTATGCTGCGACATATATGTAAAGAGAAATATATGTTTCTTCTTATATATATATATATATATATATATATGTATATATATATATTCAATCTACTTTAAATGTAAATTTGCTCAGCGAAGTGGCAACAGCTGAGCTGTGCGAAGCAGCCACAAAGTCGGACTCTCGTTTCTACGACTTTAGTTTTAGTTCTTTTTCTATTGTCTGCGTGCGGTACTTAACTCTACCAATTCTTATGCCAAATGATGTATGCATATGAGTTCGTATAAATTATTATGCCACACACATACTTATCTGTACGATGTGCAATGCAAACTACCGCATACAGCTTTAAGAAACATAGTATTAAAGCTTTTGCTGGTATTTTCCACAAAGAGTTTTCACTCTTCATATATTATTTTACTTAATACTTTGACATTCGATATGCGCATCTACAATTAATTGAATGTGCTGCATATTTTAACACAAAATTTCATTCAATTTCCAATTAAATTTGTTTCATAAAATGTACAATTTACAATTGGATAAAATAATATTTAAAATTCACTTAATTAAACAATTTACACAGCTGAAAATAATCGGTATATTGCACAAATATTTAACATGTCACTTAACATAGGCTCACATTAGTTGGTTATGCAGAAATCATGAATTATTGAATGAATGTTCAAATATTCTAGGTGCCTTTTTTTTTTTTTAATTTGTTTTACATTTCCCCATTGGGTTTCCGGCCACGCCCAGTTGCGTGGTAACCATTACCGACACTCGCTGAATTTAGCTGGTAATTTATGCATTATTAATTATCCAACTATTTCGATTGGTATGCCGTTGCCCGTTGCCCGCCCTCATTTTACAAAACGAAATGCACAAATATAGTTTATTATTGAGCAATTGGACTAAATGGCCAAATGCCAAACTATTCGAAATGTGTGAAACGCGCGGTATCTGTTTATGAGTCCACAAGGACTGTAAATCAATTTTGCGCCTAGTTAACAAGTGCTGTACTATGGGAAACTATGGCAAACTTTTATAGAAGCAAAGATTTATGATACACATGGAGGACATAGCTGTCGCTGTTAGCATAAGCGAAAGATGTTACTTTAACAGCTGTTAAAGCGAGTAATGGATTACTGTTAATTATACGCTGTTAAACACCAAAGAAACTATTATTTTGAATAACTTTCATGTTTGTTAATCAATTCTAATGAAGTTTTCAGCACACGATTGTCAAGTGCTTATATTTGCAGCTCATGTTAAATTTTTTACGATAGTTGTAATAGTTTGGCTGAACAATTTTCATATTAATCCCGACGCGTTTTCTCTGAGTTTATGGCACTAACTTAGTTAATTATTTCCATAGTCTTCTGCAGACATACATTGCGTGGGTGTGGTGTGCGTATCTGTCGACAAACAATGTATGTTTATTTGCGCAGATACCACATAATCGTATGCATAAATACAACATATTTGTGTGTATATTTATATATCTGATATTTGCATAATGGCCGCAGAGTCAAGTAGATTGTGCGTGGAGATATAAAGCATATAATTGAAAGCAAACAAGAGCTCTCGCATTGTATATGCAGATTTTCCATAACTTCTGACTCAATTTGCAACAATTTTCCAATACATAATGCTAATAGCTAGTTGTTAGATAAGACTTATAACACACAATATAGGAAGGAAAAATATAAAATAATTGCATGAGAATTTGCAAAATAGCTTTTTTTCTACTTACTTATTATGGTAGTTAGAGAAGAGTTTTGGTTTAATTCAATGGAATAATATTACAAATTGCATTTGTGTGCGAAGAGAAAGTCATTGTTAAATGAAAACACAAATTGCGTCTAAAATGGCAATGGACCGAAAAGCTTTTAACTTGCAAAAAAAAAAATATACATATATGTGTGCGTTAAAGTACAGAAAATGTTTGAAAAATGATTTTGCATAGAAATCGTTTGCTGTGTGCTGTGTGTGTGCGTGTGTGTGTGTGTGTGCAACAATGCAATGAGCATGAAAAGCTATTTATATTATTCAATTTTTAAGTCAAAAATATAAAAAATATCAAGTTAAAAAAGTGAAGTGATGCATGACTTGGTGCAAAATTCTTGTGAGTATGCGTGTGTGTGTGTGTGTGTGTATATATATTTTTACTGTTGTACATTACAATTTTCGGCTCCATGCTGGATTTATGCGTCTTCGTTGATTTCATTGGGACCTGTCCTGGCTGCCCTGGCGCCTCTCTCTCTCTCTTTCTCTCTGCTTCGACAAGCTCAATTTGTTTTTCTCTTCGATTATTTCAATTTCGATTTCGATTTCGATAACAACGATAAGTCGATAACGCTTTCTGATATGCTGCCCATTCAAGTTGACTTTTTGTGCGTTGAATTTAATTGGATATCAGCCGCAGTTGTTGTTGTTGTTGTTGATATTTTCGGCACTTCATTTCACAACATTTGCGTTTCGTTTCGGCTTTTTATTTGCTTTTAATACTGTTTTTATTATATTTTGTTGTGTGCTTTTTTATATGTTGCAGCTCAGACGAAACCGTTGAATTGTTTAAATTGTTGCTGTTATTGTTTCTGCTCGTTTTGTTGTTATTTGTTGGTTGTTTGTTTTTATTTATTTATTTATTTATTTTTTTTTTTTGATTGTAATTAAGTTACAAAAAAGTTGTTGGTGTTTATTCAATTGGATTGATTTTTGATATTATGTACTAATAAAATGCATGTAAGTCAGTCCGTCGTTTCACAAATTGTTTGCCGTTGAGCTGTAACTGTAATATGCATATAAATAAATATATATTTATATATATACACATATATAAGTGCCACACTAACACACACAGCACACACACACACACACAGCCCCTACAATTAGCACCTCAATTGCTGCAGTTAGCCAAAGTTCTTCTAACAATTGCGCCTGTGACAAGCCACACACACATACACACAACCCCACACACACTCACACACTGAGACACACACACACACATGCACATCTCGCATTGCAGGCGCCATTTCAATTGCTTATTGCCCGCTTCCGGCCAAGTTGTTGGCGTCTATGGGTCTCAGCTCAACTGCAGCTGCAATTTTATGTTGCCTGTGAGCCACGCCTACAAAACGCAGCAATTTCTCAAGCCATTAGGCACGCTTACCCCCCCACACATCCACACACACTCACACACACACTCACACACACACACACACAGTCAAACGCACTGCACTTGATGCTCGGCCATTAATTTTTGGTTGTATTTGGTTTGTTTGGTTTTTCCGACTAGTTTTGGGCAATTTTTTAGCTTCGGTTTGGCTGGCGATACGTGGAATGCGTATTTTGATGCTCCAAGTCCAAGGCGTGCACAGCGCTCGGCGCTCAGAGGAAAAGACAACTTGATCACAGCATGGAAAATGTTCAACTGACCGAAGCGCGAGCCAGCTGCCACGCTTAGCTGTGGCAGCAGCAGCAGCAGCAGCAGCAGCGGCAGCGGCAGCAACAGAGGCAGCAGCAGCGGCAGCGGCAGCCGTTGGCTTTATCAGTTCGTCGAGCTCGTGCGGAGGCGCCAGTTCGTCGTGTATTGGCTCGTGCGGCGCCTCGGCTCGGCTTTTCACTCGCTTTTGGGCCGAGCTGTGGCAAGCAACATGTTGGACTCTGGCGCAGCATCCTTGGGTGTTGCCTCGGCCAGGCTTTTCACTCAATGCCTAGCGTCACGTGTTGCACGCTTGGAGTGAAAAGCTGTGTGAGTGTATGTGTGTGTGTGTGTGTGTGTGTGTTCGTGTGGCAGGTTGAGCTTTCACTCAATGCTTGTTACTTGCATTTTGTTTATGGTCTGCCCAACGTGCGCTGCTAATGTGGCAAGCAGCTCGTCATGCCGCTATCTCGCTGTTTTTGCTGTTTGTGTGCTGCCTGTGCCCCTGCCACGCCCCCCGTGCCCCCGTGGCAGCGCATAACGGAAATTATGTATATATGCTGATGGATGCGTCGAGTTGTTTCGATATGGTTATTGGATATGGCAAGCAGATTCATTATTTGCCCCCACACCGTCAACAGCAAATATTTTTCCTTTCAGCTGTAAGTTTTCATCAGGTATTTGGTAATCCAAGACAGCAAGACCTGGCCCTCTCTCTCTGTATGTGAGTGTGCGAGTGTGTGTGTGTGTGTGTGTGTGTGTGTGTGTTAGTTGTAACATGCTAAGGCGATAGCATTGGCAGAACTTTTTGGATGTACTCGCAGGTGCATTCACACATGAGCGCCCAGCTACATAGTTCGGAAATTAGAGTAATGCGACGCAGCGGGGCGAGGGGCTGTGAGGGGCTCTGCGGCAGTGGGCGGCACAGTGGGTGTGGCAAGTCAGCCAGACTTGAGACAAGGTAATGCAATTATAAAATGCTCGCAGGCAAAAACTCATTTTTGGCAATAAGCACACGCAATTTGTAAAAGTGAAATAAATGACACAAGAAGTTGCAGTTACTCGCTTTTTGAACAGTGCATTGCCACGCCCAGCGCACCCTTCACCGGTCCCTCCCGGACGGTTAGAGCGTCTAGTTGGTAGCACAATGGACCTACGGCAATGTACTATGACTATATTTATGAATTTGATGCTCATAATTCGTTCACTTTGTGCATTTTATTAATAAAGTTTGCTGGCTGGAAAGGTCCCAGTTGCTTGTCTGGAAATGCTAGAGTCGAGAACAAGATACAGCAATATACTTGTGCATCTATTATATATATACAACTATATATATATATATATATATATATATATTTATATATATATATGTGTGTGTATGTGCATGCTGCATATGCGAATTGTTCTTTAAGTGAAAGTTTCTGCTTACTTTTAAGCTACGGTTCCGGTTCTACATAAAAAAGTTTACATTCCTCTTCATGTTCTTAACTTACAAGTTTGTTCCTTCTCTCCCTCCCTTTCTCTGGCTCTTTCACTGCTTAACAAATACTTTAACTTTCGAGCTGCGTTTAAAATGTTGCTTATTGAAACATTTTGCAGCATTGATTATTTTATTCGGTTAAGTTGCCAATCAAATTGTATATCGGTTGGCAACTTTCTCGGAAAATGTTTAAAAACTTTTCGTATCTGTTAGTTTACAGAATGTTCGCTGTAAACTTTAATAGAAATTCTATGAAAGGCTATTTGGCATTTCAAAATAATGTTATTTTATTGCTATGCTAAGTCTCTGTAAAGCAACAGAATGTTCAGTGCTCAGAAAGTCATGATGTTGTTGCCAACAGTAAAAAACTGTTAGTATGGTTTTTACAGATGTTGAAGAAAAACTGTTGTGTAACATATGTTATCCTGTTTAAGCCAGTTTAAGAATTGAAAGGATATAAATATGTATATGTACATATGCCAAATTTTATTGAAAGTTTTGTGCAATTAAACTATTCCTATTTTATTAAAATACATTTCAGTTGCCCAGTTAAGTTAGTCGAAGCCCTGTAAATATTTAGTTTTGATCGTTTTGGCCATGCGGCGGTGGGGGTCCATTCTGACCGCGTGGTGGTCCCTGCTGTCCGGCGCTTTGCTTCAGAAAACCGGAGTTTAATATCTGACCCAAATGCTTACCGGGCATTTGCGGCATCTCTGGCATCTGCGGCATAGAGGCCTACATAACCACACAGGGAAGCACATTGTTAGATCTCCGTCTACGATTACCTATTGGGTTTTCCCACTCACCAGGGCAACGGCCAGCATCAAGAAGAATACACCAAATAATGCGAACTGCTTCATAGTGAAAATTGTTACTGATTTCCCAGTGCATATTCACCGCATTTATATAGTCAGTTCGCGCAGCTAAGTTATCGACAGCAAGCAATCAGCATGCCATTTAATAAGCTCCCAAAAAGATAAACAAAATGAGTGTAATTAAAGCTTGATGCAAACAGATTTGAGAACCAACTTTAATTTCTATATAGCGTGTCAACTTAGCAAAATACTAATTTGTATTATGGAAGCAAAGTATTCACGTCTATTGGCAATAATTATAACAAATCATAAAAGCAAGAATATATAATTATTAATAGATATATATAAAATATAAAATAATAATTAAGAAATTATTTATAATAATATAATTGAAATTGAAATTAAAGAAATTAATATGGCAAAACTCGAACAGACTCCCGTTCCCTATCATCGCAATAATTATAAAATTTAGTGCCCACCACAAGCTAGATAAAAACAAACTTTTGTAGCACTTCCTTTTAAGATCGTATTATTGAAATTATATATATATATTATTATATAAGTACAATATATCGCATCTAACGCAACGAAGGCTCCTTTCACAACTTTCTTGTTTTCTGTCGAGCACTTTTTTGTAGCTCTGTGAAATGGAATCGTGTCAGTACTTTTCAGTAAATAATTTTAGCATAATTTTCGTAGCGACAAGCTCATAAATTTCTGGCAACAACCCATACGGGAAAGTAAAAAACAAGCCAGATACCCATTCACACACACACAAAATACTCAATTTATGAGTCATAAATTGGATGAAAACAAATATTAGTTCGAAATTGTGCAGCAATTCCGGTCGGAAAATGTTTACTAGTTAAAGCTAAAGAAAACTTGGTCACTTGAATTAAACCGAACGCGAGACTGTTTCACCTTTATTTTTGGCAAGCCCTCTTGAAATGTCACCTGCGGCTGTGCGAGGCAATTTCGCTTAGGCGCCGCTGTGCAAAAATGCCTTCAATTTGAGATTAAATTTTTCGCCAACGGTTTGCGCCAAACAAACAATTTTCTAGTTCGAGAATGGCAACAAAAGGTTACGCGACAGCCCAACAGACCGCGCCCCGCCCCGCCCATCTGCTCAACTACCCACAATACCGCACACAAGTGGCCCCAAACCCAATCAATGGGTTGCCGTGTGCACATACAAACATGCCACGTGTGTATGTTGCTTTTTCTTCGAAGGCAATAAATTTTCCTTTCGCTGCGAAATATGAATATTGAATATGCCTACAGTCAACCGTGCACATAATAAACCGCAAGAAAAGCCAGCCCAATGACTGCTAACTGGCGACTGAAAGCCGTTGAGCGGAAAACTACTAAAAAAAAAATATGGAGAAAAGACTAACTCATTTTAAATTTCTAGCTAGTATAGCACGTGTACGCACACTGAGAGAAATTAGCAAAAGCAAAGATACTTTAAAAATTAGTGAGAACTTTCGCCTGGGAATTAGCAAAAGTTTTTCAAAACACATTCATATAAAATGTAAGCTTACAGAGAGCACTCGTAAGTAAAGCCTTACAGAATATCATATTTTATATAATATTTCCCCCAAATTCAAGTTCGCCTCTTCCTCTTTGAGCCCTTAATAAGTATTATGCGAGAAATATTTCTTCACCTAATTCTTATGTTATATATAAACTTTTTTTTACAAAATTATTCTTCTAGCATATTGCTTAGGTAGTATAGAAAATTCTGATATTATAAGTAGCATCAGTTCTGGAACTGAACCCATTTTAACTGTGACTGTACATGATATAAAATTTGTATAACTGAAAAATAATTAATGCATCAGATATATAGAATTCAACTTAATATGTGAGGAGGATCTTTTTCTCTAGAGCAGCAATCTATGATAATAGGAGGAACATCCGACGACACTTAAATCTAAAACTTTCTTGCATTTCGCTCAGTGTATTTGTATGGGAATTTTAGTGTCTGGCCTGCAGCCCTCATGTATACTTGTACATAGTGAATGAGATGAGTCGAGATGCTAGATGAGAGGCACTAATGAAGTTTCGGTTTGTCCTTTTAAGCACTGGGCTGCCTCATTGTTTGACTTTGCCGGCAAATGCCGCTGCGCCGACGTTGTGCCTACAAGTCAGAGCTCACAATGTTTGCACAGCCGACGAGTCCTGTTTGTGTGTGTGAGTGTGTGTGTGTGTGTCCTGTTGCTGTGTGTGCGGGCCTGGCATTTGCCTGCCCTGCTGGCACTCTATTTATTTATGTTTATAATAGGATTTTTATCAAAACTTTTCATATTTTTTTTTTTGGCCAATTCCGTTTTGTAATGAGCATTTAAAAAAGACAACAGCGACTTGCAGCCGCTGACCCGCAGTTGCTCTGGCGCTTGTCTTTTGACACGCCCAACGTCCCCGCCCCACACACACACACAGAGCACCCGCAGAACGTGCGGCCAGCTCGTGTTTTTTTATTTTTGTGTAGCTGTCGATTCACGCCTCCAAATTTTTTATGTTCTACACCCATTTGCCGCAATGTTCTGGCCACTTATTATAATGTCGGGACTTTCAAACGCTATCGAAAAGCCCGCAAACTAAATAATTGCCAAATATTTGAGCAAGTTTTTAAAGCGCATTCATCTCATTAGGGTTTCACACCCCGGCTTTTGCTTGTGGCTGGAACTCATTAGCCGCGGTAGCTTCAAGCCGGTGTCTG